CAGCACCTGAGGCCCCACCGCTGCAGACAAGGGGCATCTGGGGCCCACCTAGTGGTGCTTGCCCTGCCGACTGCTTTGCCGGCTGTGGCCCACCCCACTCCACTGCTGTGCCCCCTGGACGGCAAAGGAAGGGCAGCAACGCCTGTGGACTCAGCCTGCCTGGGTCTCCTCTTGGCTTGGCAGTGGAGAGCCCTTTCTGCTGGGGCCAGAGGACCATCAGGCACAAGGGATTGGGAGCACTAGTTCCTAAGCACTCCTCTGAGCTCACAGGAGCCAGCTAAATAGAGGACTGGCCCCAGGGGCTGCCCCAGACACTGAGCCCATCCCCTCCTGCTGTGGGGCCTCCAGCCAGTCATCCAGCAGCACCCCCATAGCCCGTGCCCACACCCCCCATGGCCTGCAGTGGCTGGAAGGCTTAGTAGGGCTGTCTCTGTAGGTGCACAATGACGGGGAGCCCCCGTCTTGTGCCCACAGAGCTCACCGAGGCCTCCTTGGGGCCCAGCTCCCAGGAACCCCAGTGCCTCTAGCTCTCACACCAGCTCAGACAGGATGTCCTGGCCATGGCCTGGGCTGTTCCTCAACACACAGCCCAGGCCACCCAGCCCCAGTCCAGCGCAGCCCAGCCCAGTCCCAGCCCAGCCCAGCCCCAGCCCAGCCCAGTCCAGCCCAGTCCCAGCCCAGCCCAGCCCCAGCCCAGCCAAGTCCCAGGACCAGCCCAGCCCCAGCCCAGCCCCTGACCCAGTCCAGCCCCTCCCAGAGCCCTTTAAATTCCCGTGGGCATGTCCTAAGTTGGAGCTGTAACTCATCAGCAGTGGATCTGGGGTCCAGTGGGGCCTGCGCTCAGGGGCTGAGCTCCAGGGAGGTGGCCCCCAAGGTGCAGGCCATGTCCATCTGTCTGGGGATCGGGTGGGGGTCGGAATCTCAAGCAAGTTCCGCCGCAGTGGCAACGCTGTGGCCTTCACGTGCCTCCAGAGCGCGAGGCTGTCTCGTCTTGAGGACGGCCGGGCGACACCCATCCTCCACAGCGTCTGGGACCTTGGCCTCAGATACGCATGAGTGTGTGCTCTCCCTGCCCTGGCCTGGGGTGTGTGTGTGGGTGCACCCCTATGTGTCCACGCACACTCACCTATGCAAGCCATCTATCCTGATGTTGAACCACCACTGACCCCTTCCCTTCCCCAGCCCTGACTGTGACCGCAGCGATGGTGGCATCGTAGACCGCAGCAGGAGCAGACGGTCCCGGTGCCGCCTCCAGCTCACCAGTGTGGTGGAGACTGTCCCTGTCAGTGAAGAATTGGCTCATTTACAATTCCTTTGTTTTTGTTTAAGAAAGAACTGGGAAGGAAGAAGAAATGGAAAGGGGAGAACAAGTGGCTTCCAAGAAGTCTCGGCCTACACCAGGGCCCCACAGAGGCCCAGCCACCCTCCCTGCCTCCCCTGGTGCGTAGCCCACAGGGCTGCTCTGGAGGGACAGAGGGACCCCACCCAGCTTGGGGCAGCACCCAGGACAGGCCTGCTGGCTGGGGAGGTCGCAGGTCAGAGGACCAGCAACCAGAGAGGGCCTGAGGGTCGGCATCCTGGTCCTGAGGCCCCGTGGCAGGCAGACGGCTGGCGAGGGGTGGTAGACCGGGTCACAGTGCTGGGCCTGGACAGCAGGTACCCCTGCCTGCTTGGCCTGGTCTCTGCCAGGCAGGGCCAGGTGTCCAGGAGCACTGAAGGATGAAGAGAGCTGCTAAGAAGGTTCTAGATGAGTTTTCCAGGGACAGAGACCCGGCCCTGGTCAGCCCTCCAGGTCCAAAGGCTGGGGCCGGACATGGGTGTCTGCTGCTCCTCATGTGGCAGAGCCTGAGGCTTGAAGTTGGCCATTTTCTCAGGAGGTGCCTTCACAAACTCTTGCGGGCTGGAAAGCTTCTTGTGTGCCTGGCCCTGGCCCCTACAGGTCACTGGGTGGGAATTTCAGCAACGTCAAGACAATAAACTATGAAGCAGCCAGATGGGGGGACCAAAGGGAGTGAGCTGGGGGAGACTGGGTTTTCACCCATTCCCTTAGCACAGTCTACGCGGTTTGAAAGTGCCTCTTCCAACTTAAGTTATTTGCTTATTTTTAGTTTCACTGTTTAACGTTGATCCAATGATATTATGTCAGTGTTCTGTGGTTCAGTCTCACACAGACTGAGCTGCGAGCTGGAATTTCAGATGCTGTCCTGGTGGGGGCTCAGCCACTGTGAGCACAGGGCTTGCACCCGGCAGTCCACGGGCAGCGTTGGCCTGGGGCCAGCGTGAGGCCACCCTGCCCACGGCCACCCAGGCAGCCTAGCCACATGGGATTGATCACGGCTGCAGGGCCCCCCCGCCTTCCGTACTCTTGCTCCTCTCCCCCCTCCCCTCTCTCCTTCCTGCCCCTTCCCCTCCTCAGCTCAGAAGACAGAGTCCTCTGGAGAGTGGACACAGCAGTCAGTGAGTGGAGCTGAGCACACCTGCCTAGCTGCTTAAGGATAGAGAAAATGGGCACATCTGATGAGTCCTTGGTCCGGAGAGGGGGATAGGCCTCCTCTCGGTGGGCAGCGGAGGTGGCTGTCCCGCTCAGAGTCGCGAATAATGAATTAAGCTCAGACTGGGGCAGGCAAGGTGGGCAGGGACCCTCCTCACCTTGGCTGCCCTCAGCGCCCCCACTAGGCACCCGCCCCGCTGTGAGCTGCAGGAACAACACGGGCGGACAGCACTGAGGTCCAGGGCAACTGCCCAGGCCAGCGTCTGGCCTCGAGACTCACACCCTCTGCAGCCACTCCCTGGTGCTGATCTCGGGTCACCTCTTCTAGCCACTTCACCCCCAGACTTCAGGCCGCAATGCACTGCTGCCCGCGGGTGTGAGTAACAGGAGAGCAGCGTGGGAGGAGCAGGCAGGGGAGGTGGAGGCAAGGTCTCTGGGAGGCCTGCAGACTCTGCCAACCAACACCTGGGCTGGGCTAGGCCAGCTGCCACCCCAAGGCGGTGCCCCCACTCCCTGGAACTCAAACCCCACCCCCCGGGGCTGGTCTGTCAGCCATGAGCCCTGAAACTACCCCCACCCCCAGAGCCCTCCCCTGGAGGCTGGCTGTGCTGCCCCAGCAGACAATACCCCCTGATGCCCCCAGCCAAGGCCACATGGGTGGCTGAGGCCTCTTGCCCAGTGCCAGGGGCCATGGCCTCTGCCCCCAGCCACTGTTCCCAGCCACTGCCCACAGCCATTGCCCCCAGCCACTGCCCCTGGCAGCAGGGCAGCCCCAGCAGCCACAGAAGAAGGAGTGATGGTTTTTTAAAATTGAGGTGAAGGAAGAGTGAGCTGGAGATTGAAATTTGGAGCCTCTCACCTTCATCTGTGAAACCCCCAAAGCTGTGGTGTCTGGGGGTCTCTGGGAGGTGAGGGGGGCTGTGGAAGCACCCCCAGGGACCCCAGAGCCCCAGTCTGTGCTGGAAGTGAGCCAAGGCTACACCTGCCTGCTGCAGCCCCCGAATTCAGGGAGTACACGGTCCCGTGGCCCGGGGTGAGCTGCCAGGAAAAAGGGGCACAAGGGCTGGGCCCAGCCACTTCTGCCTGAGGGAGGTGCCATCATCTGACCCCTTTGGGGTGCACCACTGTCTCTCCAGCTCATGGGCAATGGGGGGCTGCGGGGCCCTGGCAGGCATGATGGTGGGTGGCAGGTAGTGGGCAGGGGAAGACCAGGGCACCCCAGCATGGGCTGGCTGCTTCAGTGTGGGTGCTGACAGCCAGCAACCTGGCCCTGACAGCTCCACAGTCCTGGTGTGAGTGTGAGGGGATCCTGGAGAAGGTGAAAGAGCAGCAGCTGGGCTGGCGGCTGTGGTGTGGGGTAAACTGACATCTCAGGGTGAGGTCACCATGATGGCTGCAGGCCCACGCACGCCCGTTCACACTTCAGTGGGGCCAGCTGCCTCCCCCACACCCAGCCACAGGGTCCGATCCCATAAACTCTGGTCCAGGAGCAGGGGCTGCGGTTCCAGGAGCCCTCTGCCCACACCGTGTGTTGGGAGGGGTCTCTAGGGGTTGCTGCCCACCGATGAGATCTGGGGGCAAAGGGAGCAGATTCTAAACCTCAAAGCCCATCTCAGCCCTGCCTGGCCTCTCCCTTGGACCAGCTCAACCTTGTTCCAGACTGAAGCTCCTGCTCCAAGACATCGCCCGTAGCAACTGTGTGGTCAGCCTGGGGTCTAATTTGGTTAGTGAAACATGAAGAGTGACCGACTGCAGGACCCCTGGCTGATGACTTGGGCAGAGACACCCCTCCTGGCTGACGACTCAGGGAGGTGCACCCCTTCTGGCTGACCTGCCCCCACTCTCGGTTGTGGAGCACCTTCTGGCAGCTGGGTTTTCCACCAACATCTTGAATCATTTAGAGGGACTTCAGATTCAATTTAGTACTATAAATATTTACTGAACTTCTGCAGAGCTGATGCTGAAATGGGGCCAGAGGGTCACAGAATGGGGAGATGCCCCCTGCACCAGGGTGCAAGGTCAGGACGCGTGGAGGAGGAGCACACCCTGGCCAGGCAGAGGGGCTGGGGAGGACGGCAGCCCTGGGCTCTGTGGGAGCTGGTAGTCCAGGGTGGAGACAGGAGATCTGAGAGCACCTGCCTCCCATGGGGCCGGATGGGCAGACCGGGGGGTTGGATGCACTGGGTGCACGTCCACAGACGAGGGCTTGGTGGCCAGCTCTGGCTGAGGCTCTAAGTCTGGACTCCACAAAGCATCAAGACCTTCAGGCTTCCCGCCCCCCGCCCTCCCCCCTCTAGCAGCATCAGTGAGGGTCCAGGACAGTGCTGCCACCCCCAAGGGCCTGGAGGTTCTGGGGGCTCCCCTCGCTGGTGGGCAAGATGCTCTTGAAGGACTCTAGATCATAAAGGGGGGGTTGTGACACAAAGGGCCTGATCCAAGAAGCATTCCTTTAAAAATTCCCCGCGAAAGATATTTCCAGAGAAACAGATAGGAAACAAAAGAAGCCGCTTCTTTTATTTTTATTTATTTTTTTAGCAAACTTGCCTTTGTCTGCCTCTTTGTAGACGTTGTTGACAACAGAGAAGGGAGAACCCAAACAACAGGTGAGCCCCTGCCCACGTGCTCTTAGACTTTTGGTGAAAGAAGAACCAAAACAGAGTCATTGAGCAAACACAAAGCCTCTTCTCTATCCTTCCCCAGGCAGAAAGCTGCACCCTAGCCCCAGGCCTCCCCCTCGGCTTCCCCTCCGGGAGGCGCGGGGGCTGTCCGCGGTGCTGATGCAGCTGATGTCTCTGTCCTTGGTGCTGACGCCCTGTACGGCCGCGGCGCGTGGCTGTCTGTGGCGCTGTCCGTGGTTCTGACACGTTGGTCCACGGCTGGGTTGCGGCGTGGCGCTCTCCCTGTGGCCATTGCTGAGGCTGTCCGTGGCGCTGTCCGTGGTGCTGACGCTCTGCCCAGAGGGCCAGGTTGTTTTTCATCCACCAGCCAGTTCTGCAGTCTCACAGGTTTTGAATTCAGGAAACAGGCTGGGGCAGGTGCTTTATTTGTAGATCATGGAAGCTACCTATGGACCCCCGGGAGAGAGGGGGTGCTAGGTCCCTAGAAAGCAGTGGCACTGCCATGACCAGTCTCTGAACTGCCTTGACTCAGGGCTCTAGGGTCCCTCCAAGCAGAGCTGGGCAGAGCCCTCAGGGGCGCTTGCTGGCAGATCTGTCTGAGAGGCATTTCTCTGGGCTTAGTAAATGGTGCCCCTGAGCGATCAGTGATTCTAGACTTCAAGCTTCTTTGCCAAGGACACCCTGACCATGCTGTAGAAATGCCAAGGACTCTGAGCAGAAGAGCATGAGGGCTAAATCCTGAAGTGGCCACTCAGTAGCTGGGTCCAGCTTCTTCCCTGCACATGCAGAGCCATGCCCACCCTCACGGGGTAAGGGGTCTTAAAACGGCTGTGGAGGGAACCTGAAAGTGCAGATGGTTTGCTATTTGGCTCCGCTTTGCTCCTTCGGCCCTTGAACAAAATGTTGTACCAACAAGGTGGATTTGTGTTGACATAAGCAGGTCCAAGATAGGCACCCATGCCAGGCGTCTGTGTCACCGTGAGTCCTAGGCTTGAGCAGAGAAGGAGAGGTGAGGATACTCCACAGAGGTGGTGGAGCACAGATGAGCCACTGAGAGGCCTGGCTCAGCCAGTGGTCAGCTGTGGGTTTTCATCAGTACTTAAAACAAGCATCATGGGTTTGTTTGGTGCTGTCTGAAGATCCAGAGCCCATGGGTGCCTGAGGGGATGGCACTATCTGATGGGGAGACCGAGTCCTGCCTGTCTCACTTTTACGAGCCCTGGGGTGCCAGGTCTGGAGCCATGGAAACACAAGGTGAAGCATCTGGGAGGGACTCAGTGTGGGCTGTCCAGTGTGATGCCTCCCTGTGCAGGGGACAGAGCCAGACCCTGGAGGGCAGCTGGGGAAGCTCTGCATGACCTGACTCCCCCTGTGGCCCTGCTGGGGGGTGAGAAGTCTCCTGGCCCCTTCAGAGGAGCACTGAGGCTTGGCAGCTCAGTCCAGCCTGTGAAGACAGCAACAAGCCATCGATAGCATGTGCATCACGAATACCCCAGTGGCAGCAGAAAGCAGCAAGGGGTGGCTTGATTGCCCTCAGAGGTGGCACCTGTGCCCCCAGGCCCACTGTCTCCGCACACAGCTGCAGCTCCTCATTCTCATACATGGATGTGGACTTGACTTGCATGAATGTGTTCATCTGAAGCCCCACACCACTGCCCAGGAGTGGGCACTGACTGTCAGGAGGGAGAGAGGCAGGGAGGACCATAGGAAACAGAGGACGACCCGCAGGACTGGAGCTTCCTGCTGTGTGGAGGAGGGGCCTGCCCAGTCTACCAGACATGCATCTGTGCTCACACTCAGGTTCTGGAATAACAAGTCTTGCTTTCTCATCCTCAGCCCAAAATAAAGCTTAGCCTCTCACTTCCTGATCTCTTCTGGTGAAAGGCTGCAGCATCCTGCCCACACCTGGCAGGTTCCAGGACCCACCCCCCTCACACCACCCCCTGCCCCGAGCGCCTCAGGAGCTTCTGACGCTCGCTTGGCAGCACACGCATGTCACATGCTACTGCAGTGCCCACACATTTGGATCCCCAAAGCCTGTGACGTCAGCTTGGAACTGCTGTGTGGGGCCCAGGCTGTGCCCTAATGGTTTGACTCCAGGCCTGACAGGAACTGGCAGCAGGGACCCCTGGCCACGTGGCCTTCCCCTCCCCTCAGGTCTCCCTCCCCGTGTGTCTCGCTGGAGGTCCCTGTCCATGGGCAGGTGGCCAGGTCAGGGGTTGGCAGGGGGCCGGGTTGGGGGTCAGGGTTGGTCAGGGGTCAGCAGGGTCCTGCAGAGCAGAGGAGCCTCCTTCTCAGTCAGGCTATACTACGCCAGCTCCACGGATAGCGTCCGCCAGAAGGTCCAGGCAAAGGCCATGGGGCAGGGCCTGGAAGCTCCACATCACGTGCCCACAGAGGAAGCACAGGCCTCTGGGGCGCAGACAGTACCGGGGCCCCTGCAGACACCCTGCCCCACATTGAGGACGCCTAGGAGCCTCACCCTGTGGGGCTGCATGGCAGCCTCTGCCCACACCCCACACTGGGAGCCTTGGGGACCTTGTGCCAGATGCTAGAGCAAACGGCATTGGAAAGAGCAAAATGAAGCCACGTTTTCCCCTTAACTAGATGGATGTGGCCAGTGGGGCCAGACACACACCAGCAGGATGCAGTGAGCTGCAGGAGGCTCCGGGCCCTAGGAGGGGCTTCAGGAGCCCCCTCTCATGTGCACTGCCTCAGTGGGAGCCAGCCACCCCCTCCGTGTGCCCCTGCAAGCCTATGAGGCATGTGGCTGGCTGTCTGGGGCCCTGGCTGGGTGACGCTGCCTCTGCCACCCACGGAGGTGGGTCTCCAGTGGCCCCAACACTCTCTGGGCCTGCGGGCCCATCTCTGCCCAAGGAGGGCAGCTTCTCTGGCCAGGGGCACTGCCCCCACATCTGCTGGCCGGGCTCTGCGGAGAGTTCCTGCCAGCCAGCCTCACCGTCCAGGCATCCGTGGAGATGAGCAGTGTGGACAGGAGGACCTGGGAGAAAGCTTGGCCTGGCCTCCAGGGAGCCACACGGCCATCCCAGGCAATGCCCCAGGAAGACATGGCACAGGATGCACGGGGGTGGGGGGCTCCGATGGCCAAGAAGGACGCAGACCTGGCTGCAGAGACCCAGCCCAGCGCGGCCCTGGTGGCGCATGCCTGCTGGGCACCACAGCCATGTCGGTCCCACCTGCATCACCTTGGCGGCTGCTCTGCATGCTGGTGACAAAGGAGAAAAGAAAAGGAAAAGTTTCCGCTCTCCCCAGCCCAGCGCCGTAGCCCCTGGAGCGTGTGGGCCCAGCTCTGCAGCTCCCCATGTAGGAGACTCGGGCCTGGGGGCAGGCACTGTCCAAAAGCCTGCCTGCCCTGGAACATGGGGAGCCCCCACCCCGGCAGGGAGGCCCAGCTGCTGCCTGGCACCCCATGAGCCAGGAGCCCTGCAGGCACCCCCTGCACAGGAGCCCCAGGACACAGGTGGTGCCCCATGGGGTCTGCTGAGAGTGAAGCCAGAACTCAGGTGGGGGATGGGCCCCCAATGAAAGTGCTGGCCGGACCCAGAGCCCCAGGAGCCAGGCACTGGACCAGCTAGCCACAGCGAGTCTCTGGCGGGACCCAGAGAGGAGAGGGGCAGTGGGGGCCGCCCTGTGATTCTGGCTATTGCCCTGGACTCACCTAGTCTCCAGGGTCCAGCTGCCCCAGCAGGTCGGTCGAGACTGCCCCACACCATCGGCAGTGGAGGCCCTGCCCACCCACCTGAGCTGCTGTCTGGCCTGCCCAGGCTTCCACCTCTGTCCCACCAGGCCCAGCTTCTGCAGCGGGCCCTCCATTCCATGCACAGCCCGCGGGGCCTCTTCCTGGGCCCCAGGCTCTGAGATGCATCAAGGGTCAGTGGCGTGGGCAGGGGCCAGGCAGTCGGTCTGGCATTCTACATGCTAGTGTCAGCTCCAGGAGGCTCTGCAGGGCCCAGACCTGTGGTCCTGTCTCAGGCTTTGATTTGACAATTTCAGCTGCAAAGGTCCTCCTTAGCTCAACAGTGAGGACACCAGGCGGAGGCCAGCTTGGCTCGCTGCAGTGTGCAGTCCCTGGCCAGCCAAGGGGTGTCCTTAGGCAGGAGATGTCACAGAGGGGAGAAACCTGCTGAGGACAGGCCCCAGGGAGGTGCTGGAGGGCACTGCTGGCCAAGCCTCTGGAGGGGGCCAGCCACACCCAGCTGATCGCACCCCCAGTTGGCCCGAGCTGGTTCTGAGGACACAGACCCTGGTCAGCCGGGCTCGCGAGAGCCCCAGCAAGGCAGCCAGGTCCACGGGTGCTCTGGCTCGCTGCCCTGGGGCCGCCCAACAAGGCCTGCCTGTCAGGACTAGAGCAGGGCCTGCCAGGCTGCTCCCGTGGTGGTGACAAGAGTTTCCCTCCCTGTCTGCTGGTGACTTTCTGAAGCGCGAGGAAGCACAGACTCTGGGGGGGTCTTGCCACCCGCTCTCATCACCGTGGGGTCCCTCCAGCTGGCCCCAAACAGGCCCTGGCACCACCAGCTCAGATGGGGGTCCAGCCAGCCCCTGCACCCCTGCCTGGCTCTGGTGTTGGGGCTGGACCTGCCAGACGATGGGCAAAGGTACCGTCTCTTTCCTTGGAGGACTGACCCACGCCAAGCTGCGGAACCAGCATGTGCAGGCAGCAAAAAAAAAAAAAACAGCAACTCAGGGTGCTCGGCAGAGGCGCCATGTGGGCCATCAGGCTGCGTAAGCAACACGGACACTGGAGTCGCTGTGTCGCTGTCGAGCAACATGGACACCGGAGCTGCAATGTTTGCGGGCAACGCTCCCAGGGACAGGTGCTGCTGGGGACAGGTGCTGCCCAGCACTGTGGTGAAGAGCCTGTTCCATTCGAGGCCTGTGCAGGTCCTGGCAAGTTCAGAGGGGAAGCGGAGGGGACACTGGTGCAGTGGGGTATGGGGGACAGGCCAGCGGGAGGTGGCTGCCCACCCCACAGCTCCCCCAGCCAGCAGGAGGCAGCTTCCCGCCCCGTGACTTCACCCAGGGACCCCAAGTCCTCCTGCAAGCCTCACTGCCCAATGCATCCTCTGAGGACCAGTGGACATTCACCAGAAATCATTGAGTTGGGACTGGCCCAGACCTGTGGGCTGAGGCAAGGCTGCTGGTCAGTAGGGCCCAGAGGCGCTGGCGCCATGAGCAGTGGGAGAGCTGGCCTGGGTGTCCTGTCGGTGCTTGTGTGAGGCCGTCAGCTGCAGAGGAGCTGCTTGGTGGTTGGGGGCCTGCTGTCTGTGTGCCCCAACCCCACGATAGGGGTCCCCCACCGCGCCTGCTCCTTCCCCCACCCTGTAGTTCTCCAGCAGCCTCAACCCACTGGCCTGACAGTGGGATAAACAAGCATCTCTCTCTGCTCACCGCAAATGTCAGCGTTCCCGGCTGGGGACGTGTCAAGAAGAAGGAATTATCTTTGTTGTTAAATATAGACTCTCCCTCCCTACTCCGGCCGAGTCAGAGCTCGCAGGACTGAGGAAAGTCTCGCCTTTTCAGACTGGAAGGCATCAGTTGGGCAGAGCAGGGAGGGAAACAGAAACAAAACAGGAGAGAACATGGGTAAAGAAGGCTCAGGGCTCCACGACCTGGGCTGGGGCCAGGAGGGCCTGCGGGGGAGGGGGGTCTGGCAGCGAGGGTGTGAACGAGCCCTGGGGGAGCTCCTGGCGCTTATGAGGGAGATGCAGGCGTGGGCAGCAGATGTGTGCCTGGGGGTCTCCAGGCAGGGGTCCATGCCGGGGTGGGGGGGCTCCAGGCTGGGGGTCCATGTCCCGGGGTGCTCCCAGGCTGGTTTGCAGTGCCCCGGGGGTAGCCCTGTGATCCCTTTGTCCCTGTGGGCATGAGGTAGGAGTGTCCAGGGATCCACTCATACCCCCCGGATGCCCAGCGCTGACTTGCTCCTCCTTGGCCCAGGTGCCCCTTGGACCCCGTGTCAAGGTGAGGTCTTGGACCCTCTGCAGCTCCTTCTCAGCTGTTTCCCGGAGCCCAGAGCCTGGCCTGCGGAGCCTCCGCGGGGAGCGTGAATCTCAGTGTTGACAGGGCCCATGGGGCCAGGCCTCTTGCCCAACCAGGCCTCCCCCGGCTCTGGGCGACTGCACACCCTGGCCCCGACTCAGCACTGCCCCCTGCTGGGTCCTAGCTGGAGTCCCCCAAGGCCAAGGCAAAGCTCTCTCTCTTCTGCCCCATCCCCCTGGGCCACTGCCCCAGCCTGGCCTTAGGGGTGACAGAAGTGATGCCAGGAGGAGAGGATGGAACCATGCCTGGGCTGAGGCTGCCCTGAGCTGGCCCCTGCCTGAGGGGAAGCTCTGGGCCTATCGCTGCTGTGGCCAGGGGGGTGGGCTGGGCTGGTGCCCCCATGAGCCCCCGCCTCGGCCTTGTCTTCGGGGCAGATGCACCAGGCAGCTCCTACCTCTTGTCAGGAGCAGTGCTGGGCTCGCCTGAGAAGGCTGCTCGGTGTCCAGGGCAGCAAAGGAGAGTCTGGGGGTGGGGGAGGAGGAGGGAGGGATAGGAGGGGAAGGGCAGGAGGGAGGGGGCAGGTAGGGCCCACAGAGCAGGCCCAAGGCGACTGCCCCAGGAAGTCTCCTCAACAGCCAAGCGGTGTTGCACCCAGTTGGGCCCACAGAGTCCCCGTATCCTCAAGTATGGGGAGGACACCCTTGGTGTGGGGCCCCTCCTGTGGCCTGTTGACTCCTGCCTGGATTCCCCTAACAAGGCTGGAGGGGTGTGGGGGGCACTGAGCCTCCATGAGGTTTGGAGCTGGGAGGACAGAGAGCAGAGGAGCCTGGGGGAGGCCTGTGGAGCAGAAAAGTGTGAGAAGCCGCACTGGCTTCCTGGCCCTGGACTTGCCCAAGGGACTCGGGGACAGGGAAGGGACACTTGGAGGAGACAGACATGGAGAGAGGCCCGCAGGAGTGACTGTGGCAGCCTGTCCCTGGACTTGGGCTTGGATTTTGGTCCTTCCCTCCCAGATGCGCCTGGGCCCTCTGCCCTTCCCTGTGGCCCCCAAGGAGGCACCCTGGACATGACAGGCTCTGGGGCCTCAGGGCCCTCCTTGGGCCACGCTGGTGGTTGGGCTGGGCCTTTGCCCAGAGGGGACGGTGACTGTAGGTGCTTCATGTGGAAAGTATTTTAACTCTGTTCTTTCTCTTCTCTCTGTGGCACACCAAGAGGATTAAAGTCCTTTTCTATGAAGGTCTCAGCACTGGAGTGTCTGCTCGATGCGGCGGGCATAGACCCATCCCAAGCCGGCAGGTTCGGGGCCCTGGGCACCCCCCTCCCACACTGCAAGACCTGTCGCATCTGACCACCCCAAGCGTCATCTGGTAATACTCCCCAGCAGTGGCCTCCAGGGCCTTGGAGGGCAGTGGGGGGGCAGAAGGCGACCTGGGGTGCTTGGACACCTGGCTCCTTCACCCCAACACCTCCCGCTGGGAGCTCTCTGCCCAGAGTCACCCAGAACTGAAGGCTTCAGTCCCGGCTTGGGCCCGACCCTGAGCAGGGCCTGGAGGCAGGAGATGACTCGGGCCGGTGGCCTGGCCTGATGTGCCCTGGGATTCCAGGGGAGCCGCTGGCAGATGGGCGGCCAGTCTCCAGGGCTCCCAGCCAGAGGGGGGGCCTTGAGCTTTAAGGCGTGTCCCACGGGACCGGGGGTGGGGGCGGTTGGCAGTTGTCACTCACCAGCAGCTGAGGGTCTTGGCCACTGCGGAGTGGGCTTTCCCACATGCCCCAGTGGGGCCCGTGCTGCACCACCAGAGGCCGACCCATGTGTCCTCGCACCGCCTGGACCTGGGCCTGGGCCCACTGGGTCCGCCCACACTTGGCCTCACTGTTGCCTGCATCAGATTTCGCTTTTTACCTTTCTTTGAAAACCTGTGGAGCCACTCTGGGTGGGGCTCCTTCTCTGTCCTCCCTTCCTGTCCTGCAGCACGTGGGCTCCTTAGCTTCCCCCAGAAGCCACCAGGGCTGGGCTGCCAGTCCAGCAGCCCCAGCACCTTGGGCTGCCCACCCTGGGAAGCCCCCTCCCTCCCCAAACTTCCCGGGCCACCCCCTGGCACTGCGCAGGGAGGGGGAGGGCAGAGCGGGACCCCAGAGGGCAGAGGCCGGCAGCCCCCCATACATGGCCGCATGGCCTCCCCAGAGCAGGATGGCATGAGCAGTCCAGTAGGAAGGAGCCCTGGTCTTGAGGGGTGGGGGGGTACAGCCCCAGCACCCTGAACTGCATGTTGCCTTATCACTGGGGCATGACATGGAAGCAGAAGCCTGGCCCGGGTGAGGCCCGACACCACAGTGGGGCTTGCTGGAGCCTGGCTGCGGAGAACAGGTACTTCCCGGCCTGTGCCTCCATAAATTGGAACCGACAGAATTACCATTGATACAAATTAAAAACAAATAAAAAGGTACACAGACCTGGTTCTGCAACTCAGACTCCATTACCGGCTGATTTACTGGGCAGTGACCTATGGGGGGTGGGGGGAGGCGGGAGCCCATCAGCCCCTTGCTGCCTGCACACCGGTCAATAAGTCATTTAATTTAATAGGACGGTATTGACGGCCAGGATGCACCTGGAGAAGCTGCAGCTGCACAGAGCAGATAAGGCTCGTCCCGCCCTTGGTGCCCACAGACCTTCAGAGGCCCTAGGCTTGGGGGACTGGGCCTGAGGGTTAGCCCTGGGGGTTGGGAGCACCACCAGTGCCACGTCCATCTTGGGTTGTCATGACTTGGGGTGCCGCCAGCATCTGGC